TATCAAATAGTTAGCTATTAGCACTATTTTCCAGATGAGGAAACCGACTTTGGAGAGGAAGTACAATTCATGGGATGGCAGGACTGGAACCCACACTGTCGGACTCAAGGGCCTGCCCTCTTAACGACGACATATTGCACGGCGCTCAGCTTCGAAGGTGCATATGTACTTGGGTGCGTGTAGCACAATACACGTGTTTGCCTTCAGCCCAAACAAGTACTGATTCCGAAATGGTGCACCTGGCTGAGAGATGACGCAGGCGGCGGAGGAGGGGGCCCAACCAGGAGCCCGCTGTCCCCACTAAGAGGCCCCTGCTCCGAACCCTCCCCCTTTTCCAGGTCTCCGGCGAGGAAGGCTCAGAGAATGGGCCTCAGGCCGAGGAACCAAGATCCATGGCCAGCAGAGGACGGGAGAGAAGGGCTCCAAGGGTCTGGGACAAACGCACACGGGGACACACAGGATGCGGGGAGCAGCAGCCCAAGGCCTTGTAAAGCGGGGATGCTCGTGGGATGCGCTCGGGGTCCCGCGGGCGCTTTATCACCGGGGACTGGGGCCCAGGTTGTGGCCAGCGGGCCACGTGCCGAGCCCTGCAACCGCCCTTCGTGGCCCCGAGCCCCCAGGTCCCCACGCACCGCATGAAGCCCGTGTCCGTGGTGATGGTGTCCCCCGGCACCACCAGGTGTTTCTTAGTCTCGCGGCCCAGGCTCTCGCTAAGAGGCTTGCGAGCGACCGGGAGCCTCATCTCCATCGCCATCTTGGCGCCAATGAATTGCGCAGGCGCGACCCGGCCCAGAGCCGCGAGATCTCGTTCCGCAATTCCCGGCCGACGCTCGGGGAGGGGGCGGGGCCTCGGAGCAGCAGCCAATAGGAACTCGTGCTCTGGCGTCCATGGTCACTATTGGCAACAGTTAGGCTCACGTTAAGGGAAGGAGGGAGCAGCATCGCCATTTTTGCTACGGGGAGCCTACACCTGGGTAATAAAATCTCATGTACGGTGTTGGACTTCTTGCCAAAACGGCCTCGCAGTCATCGTCCAGTTTATGGTTTTCCAGGGTCAGAGATAATTGAGTGTGGCCCTCTGAGTTTCCTTCCAGCTCATTGTGTGAATGAGCGCAGGAGGACACTATGTGGACCGAAAGAAGAGCCCGCTTTCGTGCTGTTCCTACTAGTAGTACCGCCAGAATTCCACATCACAGCCGCCCCGTGGGGCTGGCTCAGCACCCACCATCATCTACACCCCCAAACGGTGCTCTGGGTGCCGCTTCGTTCTTTCATGGCGACTTTTGAATGAGCTGATTTACTCTAACACTTCTTTTGTAAAAACAAGAAACTGAGAAAACATTCAAACCTTGCAAGGCAGGTACATTTGGTAGGCAAGTGGGCACATAATACGAAGATCTTCGCTGATATTTCCTCAAACATGCATTGAGTGCTCTCTGTGTCCTAAGGATTCAGTCGTGGAGAGAGAGATGTGTGTGTGGCTCTGTCTTCATGTCCTGTTTAACAGGAGCACTTCCCCCTCCCTTCTCCCCAGCCTCTACCCTTCCCCTCACCCTTGCCCTGCGTGGTTTATAGCATTCACACCAAACCTCAGGGAATTGGAGATGATCATTCTTCAGGCACATGGACCCTAAAGAGGATTGAATGAAATAAGTTGCGTCAGTCCTGTGCACTGTGTTCACAAAATCAGGCTTGCTGCCTCCTGAAGACCCATAGACTAATTGTTTGCTAAATCTCCAAAGAGACAGCATTTCTTTCACCTAAGGCTAAGCAAAGCTCATGGCTGCGAGCGTGAGAAAGGTCCATCTGTTGAGTCCAGCCTCGACCATAAGAGGGCGGTAGTGTCCTTTGAGCCGCCTAGGGAGGTAGGCCTGGGAGTTCCAGTTGACCAAGGAAAGGGTATAGTCTTCACATGATTTAGTTTCATCCTCGGAGGGATAGACATAACCTTAATCCCTCCCATTCTCACAGCACTCGCATGTACAGAGCCTGTTATGATGGCATTATGGATACTGTTTAGTCTGTTTTGGCAGCTATAACAAAATACCCTCAGCTGAGTGGCTTATAAACAACAGAAATTTACTCCTGACAGTTTGGGAGTTTGAGAAGTCCAAGATCAAGACATTGGCAGATTGGGTATCTGGTGAGGGTTCGATTCCTGGTTCATAGATAGCTGTCTTTTCACTGTGTCCTCACTTGGCTTGAGGAGTGAGGGGGTCTCTGTTAGACACTAATTGAATTCATGAGGGCTCTTTCCACCTTTCCCCCTTGCTCCTCCGCCTCCTAATTGACCCCACTGCTTCCCTGTGTGGCCCTGCGTGCTATGCCCTGCCTCCAGATTCTAGGGAATTGTGAGTATAGCAAATTTTTCATGACCAGATTCCTGCCGGCTCATCCTTGTACCTCCAGCAGGGGGAAATGTCTGCAGCTGACTTATCATATGCATTTAGGCTGCAATGACAGCCTACTGACACCAGGTGGGTTCTGGTCCCTGTGATCTGTAGGGTGGGGGCGGGGGAGAGTGCTTAATGCTACGTCACCCATTTGGTTAGATGCCTGGGTGGGGGCTGCAGTGGGAGGATGGTAATGCCAGGGGCCACCAGAGGCATCAGAAGCCTAGGGGTGAGGTATCAAAGCAAAGGCAAGGTTTGTGATGGGAGCGGGAGGAGGAGAACCAAGGGTGACTTCCCCCACGGGCCCCCCTGGAAGGAAACCCCAGATGGGATATGCAAATGAATACATTAAATGTCCATTTCTGCCCATGCCTCCACCTGCTAGGGTGCAGTCCCCCAGAGTATGGGGATCTTTGGGAGTACACACCTGAAGCTCCAAAGGGGGGTGGCCTGTGTGAGCAAGTGTGCATTCAGCATCTACAGTTATGTGTGTATATGTGCGCACGCGGGTGGCTAGATGAGGATGCCAGTAGCCTGAAAGGGTGACACCCTCATGGCTGGCGTGTACTGGAACACAGGTGTGAACTCACACAGCCCGGTGTCACACCCCCCTGGAGGGAGGAGCCAAGGCCTGGCCCTGCATTGATGGCCTCTCTGCTCTTTGGTCCTCCTCAAGGAAGCTCTGAAGTGGGTGTCTGAGCATTTGGGAATTCTATGCATTGGGAGGGCACTTGGTGTCTATCTTGGTCTCCCCCCACTGGCTGCTTGAATTCCTTCAAGTTGTCCATGAACATGGGGGGGGGGGTAAGTAAAAATTTTGGGGAAGTGACAAAGTGGGACCCTATATTTGAGAGTCAGCTGGAAAGTGGGAGTCAGCCCAGCTCCTCCTGAGGTGTCCTAGGATCTGGAGGCAGGTTGCTTTGCCTGTGGGAGTTGACACCCCATTTGCGACAGAAAGATTTCTCCTTATAGATGGCACAATGGACAACTCCTCCCACCCCCTCTCCAGCTTCCAGGCACTCTCCATATTTCCTTTTCATGTAGACAAAAGTGTCAGCCCATTCAGATGCTAAGTGATAAATGCTCCAAGTAATTTTTATTTTAGAATACAAGAGAGGTACAAATGTATTTACAGTTATACATATACAATCAAATAATATATACCACAGTTTTGTAAATATCATTTTAGGTAAATATTTACAAAGTTAAAGTGACCGTTTTCTGGAAGTAGAACACAGTTTCTTGAAAACTCTATACATTTTATACTTTTCATTAATATTATTATAGTTTCTTTATCTTACAAAACGCCCTACGGAAATACTGGTAAATGCCTGGAAGGTGGGAGAGATGACACCAGAGGGCGCTCAGGGCCGAACTCGGGGAAACTTGGGAAAGAGCGAGGGAGAGTGTGGGCAGCTGGATGGACCCCCCCACACCCTCCCACTCCGCACAGACCGCCAGTCTGTCCCTCCTCCTGCTGGAGTGTGGCGAGCTCCGGCAGGAAAACTTCCCTTCCCCAACCATGATGTCAGAGCTGAAGGGGAGGGGGCCTCGGCCCAATTCTCTCATTTTATAAATGGAGGAAGGGGAAACTGAGGCCCAAAGAGGGGCAGAGTCTTTCCCGGGTCCCACAGGGGATTTCCGTTTGCCCGAACCCTCCACATTGCGAAGTACTCGTGCCTCATCCATCCTCTGGGAGCCGTGTTGGGGTTGGAGAAGGACGGTGGCCTAAAAGTGACCCACCCCCCGCCAGGGCAGTGCGGGTCTCTGTGGGCCTCTTCGGGCTGCCACACTCTCAAGTGACTGCGGACACTGAGGACAAAGCCCCAAGAGGCAGGATGGGGGACAGGTGGGCGAACGCCAGGCCACCCTGGGACAGGGAGGTCGCGCTCCTCCCGTTGCCAGCACGCGTTCTCGGTGGGGAAGTTGGAGGTCCCTTCCCCTCTTGGGGCCCTCGGAGACCTGCAGTCCCTTCTCCTGCCACCCACGAGGGGGATGCCAGCTTGGACGCCCGGCTCGATAGGAGGAGGGAGACTGGGGAGTTAGGGCTTGGGGACCACCCACCCCAACGGGACGCGGCCGAGCAGCTGCAACCAATGGGTGACCCCGGGAAAGGAAGGTCGTCCCCAGGGTCCTCATCTGAAAAACGGGCGAAAAGTGTATGCCCCGGGCTCACTGTTGGCGCGCACCGGCACTGCGGGGTCCCCCGGCCGCCTCCGGCCCGGAGATTCAGTCCGAAGAGCCCGCAGCCGGGCGCCCGGGCGCTGCAGGCGGGAAGGCGGGGGCGCGGGCGGGTGCGGGCGGCGCTCACAGCACCACGGCCGGCAGGTGGGGCGCGGGCGGGCGCGGGCGGCGCTCACAGCACCACGGCCGGCAGGTGGGTGCGGGCGGCGCTCACAGCACCACGGCCGGCAGGTGGGGCGCGGGCGGGCGCGGGCGGCGCTCACAGCACCACGGCCGGCAGGTGGGTGCGGGCGGCGCTCACAGCACCACGGCCGGCAGGTGGGGCGCGGGCGGGTGCGGGCGGCGCTCACAGCACCATGGCCGGCAGGTGGGTGCGGGCGGCGCTCACAGCACCACGGCCGGCAGGTGGGGCGCGGGCGGCGCTCACAGCACCATGGCCGGCAGGTGGTGCGCGGCGGCGGCGGCGGCGAGCGCGGGCGCGTGCGGGTGCGGCGCGGGCAGGGCGGGCGAGTGCGCCTGCAGCGCGGCGCTGGGCGGCCGGTGGCGCGCGCTCTTCTGGTGGGCACGCAGGCCGGCGAGCTGCGAGTAGGCGCTCTGGCACACCTGGCACTTGTAGGGGCGCTCGCCCGTGTGCAGGCGCACGTGGTTCCGCAGCGTGGACGACTGCTGAAGCGGCGGTGCAGAAGCGGCACACGAACGCCTTGTCCCGCGTGTGGATGCGCATGTGCGAGCGCAGGTTCTGCGCGAGTTGAAGCCGCGGTGGCAGATGACGCAGCGCATGCGGCCCGCGGTGCCCGCCGCCGAGTCCGCCGGGTGGAAGTCCTCTGGCCGCGAGGGCCCGGGAGGGAGAGCGGGGTCCAAGGGGCGGGGCGGGGCGGGAGGGGGGCAGAGAGAGCAGCCTCGTTAGAACCGCGCGGCCCAAGCCCAACACCCACGCTCCCCACGCACGTGTCCTCCCCGGGATCTGCCCACCTCTAATCCCCCGACGGTTCTCGGGCAACTGATGGGGAGCGCGGCAGGGGGATGGGAGGGGTAGCAAGGGCCCTGGCTTAGGGTCACGCAGGAGCTGGACTCCACGCCATGCTGTGAGACTCGGAGACTTAGTGACTTGGCCTCACCAAACCTCAACTTTCTCATCTGTAAAATGGGAGCCTACTACACCTCAGGGGGGCTCTGCAGGACTAGAGGAGACGATCACCAAACGCTGAAGGCTATTGAAAGCTACTCTGCTGAGCACTCACCTGCCTGAGCCCGCGCATGGAAAGTGCCTGCTCATGGCAGCCTTCCATAAGTGGAAGTAACTATTATAACCTCCCCCCCAAGAAAAACTCCTTTCATTTATTATCCCCACAAACATTACTGATGCCTACTATGTGCCAGGGAACTGCGCTCACTTTCCTCGCCTCAAACGGAGGTAATGATAGCATCACCGCCATGAGCCTTCTGTAAGGACTAGAGAAAGTACTGTTTGTAAACAGCTGCAGAGCAAGGGCTCAGTGAGCACAGTTCATGAGCCTCAGATTCATCCTCTAGAAATAAGGGTAATCAGATTTCACAAGGATTTTCTGAGGGCCCAAGTGGGATAAAGGTTTAGCCCAATACTTGGCACAAAATAGATCAGCGACCCTCCAACACACGGAGGCAATGCCCCACCTCCATCCCACAGGTTTACACTGAGCACCCACGCTGTGCCAGGCCGGGCACCAGCGGCAGAGCAGGGAAAGGCACAGAGCCTCGGGGCCGGAGGGCGCTTAGAGATCATCTTACCCAACCTCCTTCCTTTAAAGATGGGGAAACTGAGTCACGGGGCCATTCCCAAGATTGCACAGCAGACCTGGAACCTCATCCAGGCTCCCTGGGCCTGGCCCCTGGCTCATCCTGCCAAACCAGGCTGCCCCTGGTGGACCCCCCGCCCCATCACCTGCCCCTACTCTGTTCTGGCCGGAAAACAGGAGGACTACCTCTCACTCCCGCCTGGGCCAAGGTGGTGGTGGCTCCAGAGGCATCGGCCTCCTTGAACCAGTAGGTCCCCTGTGCTCAGTGGTGCTGGAGGTTGAGCCAGGTGCCTCCCCACCACACACACACACACACACGCGCACACACACACACATGCACACACGCACACGCACACACGCATGCACACGCACACGCGCGCGCGCGCGCACACACACACACACACACACACACACTGGGCTCATGGAGAATACCTACCGTGCTTGTTCTTTTTCTGCTCCTCCTCCAGCCCGGGCACTCCGGGGATCCCCAGGAAGGTGTTGTGCGAGTTCCCATACCACACCAGCAGCTCCTGGTCAGGAGGGATCATCTGCAGAGGAGGAGGCCAGAGGAGGTCAGGGAGGCAGTGGCCTGTGTGTGTGTGTGTGTGAGAGAGAGAGAGAGAGAGAGAGAGAGAGAGAGAGAGAGAGAGGGAGAGAGGCAGAACTCTGCACACCGCCTCACAGCCAGGAGGCATCTGTCCTGGCACTTGCCATGGAGATGGGGCTCCAGTGGGTCCTGTTCCACAGGCCATCCCCCACAAGCTGCACGATCACAGAGACCCTGGGGTGCTCTGCTCCCCTCTTCCTGCCCAGGCTTCCGGCCATTTGCTGGGAACAGCGCTGCCTCCCAGACTCCCAAGCGCTCCCAAGCGGATGGCAACAGAACCGCAGCCTCACAGCGAGCAGAAGTGACAGCGACCCAAAGTGAGAAGGCTTTCCATTTCTTACGTTGGGGTGGGGGGGGCAGTCAGCCAGCCCTCAAGTCTGCAGGGCGGAGCTGGATGTTCCCAAGGAGCCTGCGTTGCCGGGCGCCCCGTGGCACTTGGCTACCCCCTGCCCGATAATGCTCTCATCTGATCTGGAAACAGCTCTCATCCAAAGCACCCCCAGGCAGCACCACGTCACAGGTCATCCTCCCCCCACCCCCCCCACCCCCGTCACAGGGGTCTGTGTGGGTCCATGCACGAAAGGACCTCCCGGGTTCTTTCCACCTGCGGAAATACTGGGCCCCTGAGCCTTACACAATCCACTGTGCCGTGTCCTGGGCTCTGGCACAGAACGCCAGAGACAGTGCAGGGCTCTGCTGCTCCCTGGGGGGGACCTGCCCCTGGGCGTGGCCGTCAGGAGGGAGGACTTGCGGTGATCATCCAGGGAGCTGTGGGAGGCCTGCTCCTGCGTGGAGCTGACCATCCGCACACACTCCGGGTCATCTCCAGGGGCCACCAGTACCCCTGCCGAGCGGGGAGCCGTCGGGCCCAAATGAGAGAGGCGCGGCCCATCACCCTCCTGAGGCCTGCACCCCAGAAGAGCTGGCTTTGGCACCACCCCGGGGGCACTCCCATCTGTCCAGAGAAAACGGACACCCCAGGCCACAGCTGGTTTGTTTTCCTGGTGGGTCCTCTTTTTTAAAAAAATGTTTTTATTGATTTTTTTTTTTTATAGCGAAAGGAAAGGAGAAAGAGAAACAGATACTGGTTGCCTCCCTCATGCCCTCAGCCAGGGATCAAGCCTGCACCCTGGGCATGTGCTCTGATCCGGAATCGAACCGGTGACCTTTTGGTGCACGTGGGACGACACTCAACCAACTGAGCCACACCAGCCAGGGCCCTGGCCTTTTAGTGACGCAAAAGATCCGATGGGATTCCATTTAGGGGTGCCTGGTATCAGCCGTGCAATGCCCTCCCGTGGCTTCTGTGGTCACAGCGAAGGCCCACCCCTTCCATGCGGTTCTGGCCCGCAGGCCCCCTCCACACTGCAAACCTACTGTCTGGCACACCTTCTTCCTCTGGTCAGAGCCGGGAAGACTCTCAGGCATCACAGCCAGCTCTGTTCCTTCCCGGAAGCGGAGGGACGCAGGGAGCGGCAGGTGGGAGAAGGAATGTGCACTTAAGGAACGTGCACATGCGACGGAATCCTCCTAAGACGCAGCCAGGGGTCACCGTGCCCCTCTCACCCAGCCACAGGGCCCAGAGCACTCGGCCTCGGGCCTCAGGGGAAGCGAGTGCTGAGAACAGGCAGAGGGTGGCGCCAGCTCAGAGGGACGGGGCTGAATATGGAGGAACCAGTGCAGTCTGAACCCATGGAAAAGTAGGCGGTGCCTCAAAGAAAGCAGGAACCACCGCGAAAGTTCTGGAGGCCTCTCTGATCATTCACAGTCGTGGCCACTGTGCAGGGGGCCAGCGGGTCAGACCCAGAGGCCCTGCTGGAAAAGGGGCGGTGAAGAGAGGGGTTTGGTGAGCCCCTTTAGAAAACAGGAGGATGGAAGTAAAATATTTCAAATGAACTCACTGTGAAAGCAGCCACTCTCCACGAGACAGAGCACATGGGACCTCCGTCACGAGGGCCCTGGGTGACCTTACATAAGTCACTTTGCCTCAAATGAGGGAACTGGGGTCTCTGAGGTCCCCCAACTTTAGGACTCTGGCTGGATGTCACCTGCAATATTGCCCCAACCCCTGGCTGCGATTCTCAGCTGTACTGACATGTATCCATCGTGGATTTTCTAAAGCAACCAGCCCCCATCAGACGGTCTCAATCTGCCTCTTCCTTCAGGAGACGCACTGCACAGGCTTCCAGCTCAGTCAGGTTGGGGTCCACTCGGGCTCCCCATCTGCTGTCCACGTGACCTTGGGCCAGTCTCTGGGCCTCGGTTTCCTCCACCATAACGCGGGGCAGCAGCACTGCCCCGGCCTCACTGGGTGCTTGTCGGGGTGCAGAGGAGCCAGGCACACAACGCTCTTTACGCGATCGATACACAGGAGAGCTTGCTATGACCCCCCCCCCCCCCGAGCTTGAGTTTGCCAACCTCTCAGAGAAGCAGGTAAGTGATCTCAGATGCAGGGAGTCCCCCAGTCGCCGCCGCCGCAGAGCTGGCGGTGTGGTGCGGGCCGCTGGCACCTGGCACCGTTAAAGCCCAGCGTGACCATGGCTTTGCCTTCACTATCTGACAAGAGCATCGGCTGGGCCCCCACCACTTCCCACAAACAAGGGCTGAGAGGTTCAGCAAGCCGCCCCCCATCCCTCCCTCCCCCGTGATGTCGCCCTGAGCCCTGAGCTGCAGCTCTTCCTCCAGACTAAGTCAGCACTGGCCTTTTTCTTTCAATTGACGATAAGAATTATTAATTAAGCATAACATCAACAAAAAGGGTGATGATGACTAAGGAGCCAAGAACTCTGAGACTGCACAAAATTTGAAAATTATTATTCCAGAGCTTCAATATTAACTGTTTCAATACAACGCTCAGTCGTTTATTTACTAACATTTTTTAAATGTACAAAAATTGGCCCTGGCCGCTGTGGCTCAGTTGGTTGCAGCATGGGCCCATGGACCATACAGGATCGATGTTTCTCTCTCTTTCTCTAAAATCAATCTTTAAAATGTACTAAAGGTCATTTTACTAAAATTAATTATAAGATTAAAATAGTGATGCGAACATCCATGCAAACAAATATTTTTGTTCTAATTGCTTTATAGTTTATTAAAATTTTACTTTTCTTGGATAAAAAAAAATAGTGATGCGGACCCATGGACAAAAATGTGTAAACACGTAAAAGGGTAGAGAATGAGCAGCCAGTCTCTCTCCCACGCTGGGTGCCAGGCAGTGAAGGGTCTGTCATTTTGAGACAATTAACGAATGCTGATTTAGGTTCCTGGGGAGCAGCGTGATGGGCAGAGTGACTTCCATTTTCTACATGACGCATCTGATTTTTTAAAAAATGAGCCGCTCTCGTACTATTTTTATACAAAAAATATTTTTTTAAAGAAAGAAAATCCATTAGGAAGAACCTACTGGAATTGAGAATGACGCACATCCCCGCCAGCAAGAAGCCAGCAGCCCTCTGAGCCCCACCGGGGAAGGCAGCCTGGCCTGCACCGACGCCAAGCCTTCTGAGCCCTGGGCTGGACCTCTGGTCTCTGCCTGCTCCCCGCAGCCTCTTCCTGAGATCCTGGTCCCATTGTCTGGAGGCCCCCGAGCTCCCACCAGCTGCCACCTAAGAGCAAAGACCAGCCACAGTCCCCTGCAGGCCCCCTCGTCCCCTCACTAGTGCTGTTTCTTTAAGGCCAACCCTTCAGCCTGGCCCAGCCAGGCTCTCCCTGGGGCTCAGAGAACCAGAATCAGCTGCTCCTTCACTTTCCTGGGAGCAGGGACTGGCTCGGGACATGCAATCAACCACACAGTTTCCAGAGCCACTGAGTCCCACACCCGTCACCCAGACTGGAGGGGAGGGCGGAATATCAGTGCCCGAGTCTTCCGTGGACAAATTACACCGTCTCTCAGCGCATGCTTCTTAAACTTCTCGATCAGCCCACAAGTTTTGTCCTGCCCCATTTCCATTTCTGAATTTTTATAAATTGAAGTGATGGGGTTTGGGGTTTGTTTTCCTAATACAAATCCACGCCACACCATTGAACATGCTCCCAGGGGCTCCGCGGCCCTCCCTTCCCCAGGCGGTGCAGGAGCCTCGTCTAGAAGGATCTCGGTGTCATCTGGGCGGATATCAATTTCCATTGTACCACAGATGTCCTGACACACCAATTAATAGAGTTCCAGCAAATAGATATTGGCCAGGGAGGCCCCGTGGTGGCCAAAGGCTCGGCTCTGGGGTCGGACAGGCCTGGACTCAAATCACAGCCCAGCAACATCCCTCAATCTCCCTGAACCCTAGTTTCATCGTCATTAAAATGGGGAGAGTGATGGAGAGCACCTCACAGGGTGGAGAGGATTCTATTTCTAAAAGGTTGCTAAGCCTTAGCAAGGCGCCGGCACGGGGTAAAGGCTCACATGGATGGCAGGGTCATTAATGTTGCTCATTAATAAGCAGAGCCCCTTACCTGCACCCACCGATGAACAAGGTCGAAGGAAAACCGAGTTTATCCCCATGGGGCCAAAGAAAGGAGAGATGGGGCTATGGGCTTCGGGGGGGAAAAAGCTCAACTTCCTGAAATGAGAAGGAAAGTAGCAAAAAGACAAGCCCACATTTCAGGGCCAGTAATTTGTCAAAAACCAGGGAGGGGAAAGACTGGGAATTTTCTCCCTCGTTCCCAAATCCAAAAAGCCCCACCATCTCTTATTCCTACATCCTTTTCTTGTGCTGAGTTTTGGAGTCAAAGGTCTTGCTTGGGGGGGGGGGTGTTTTCCTGGGAGAACTGGGTCCATGTGTCCCCCTTTCAACTGAGCCCCCCCCCCCCCCCGGCACAAAAACACACACCTAAAGAAA